CTGCTCCACACTCGCCGCTGACATTAAGCTTCATCAGAAATTCAACTTCAAACTCCAATTTGCATACAAATTAAAGCCGGGCACTCAGAAATGTTTTTTTTAAAAGAGTTTTCGGTTTGTTTTTTTAGTTTCCAATTTTTGTGTTTCGGTTTTTTTCGTTGACCACAACAAAGAGCCGCATAAAATCCCCCTAAAATGCAGCCAAGGGGCAAACAGCTACCGATTTTATTATTGATAATGTTTTGATTTATCACAAAAAGCTTAAAAATATTGCCCGAGCCCGGGTCGGAGCCGGAGACCGAGTGTCTCTTCTGTCTTCTGGATTAACTTTGCGTTCCTCTCGTTTCGAGCCAATTATTTGAATGCGGTTAGCGGCATCAGCAGCTACTTTGTTGATGTCACTTAAGTTTAATACTTGTGGCTTTCTGCTCCACTTGGGCAAGTCAATCCAATAAAAAACACTCGAAGAAATCGGGGCTCTAAATACAACTCTCACTTGAATAATCGTTGCCTAACCTCGGTTCGTGGACCACATCTGTGAGCCCAGAATAAAAGTATTTCGTATGTAGACTTTCGTATAGTATGCACAGATACAGAATATTTCACTTTTTTAATACCCTGCTAGAATGGGAAAGGTAGAGCCTTTTGCCTTGGTATATACTAACTTTTCCATGTCACATTTAAGCCCTAAAAATTGCATAAAGATCGGACTGTAAGCTCCGAAGTTAATCAAGAATGCCTTAACCCATATCTACCGTTGGGCTAAAGGAAGAAGAAGAGCAGCCGCATTTGAGTACAAAATATTCGACTTTTTCTCTGAGTGCACGATCAACTTGTAATTGCTATAGAAATTTTATAGATTACTAGACTTTTTCTCTGAGTGCATGATCAACCAGTAATTGCTCTAGAATACTCGACTTTCGTTGTTCGACTTTTTTTCTGAGTCCAAGATCAACTATTGATTGCTATAGAAATAATATATTATACATTTTCTCTGAGTGCACGATCAACTAATAATTTCTATAGAAATGTTCTAGAATACTAGACTTTTTCTCTTATATAGTAGACTTTTTCTCTGAGTGCACAATCAACTAGTAATTACTATAGAAATGTTATAGAATACCAGACGTATTCTCTGATATACTAGAATTTTTCTCTGATATACTAGACTTTTTCTCTGGGTGCACGATCAGCTAGTAATTGCTATAGGCATGTTCTAGAATACTACACTTTTTCTCTGATATACTAGAATTTTTCTCTGATATACTAGACTTTTTCTCTGAGTGCACGATCAGCTAGTAATTGCTATAGAAATGTTCTGTTGCCTGACACAAAACGCTTTCGTTTTGTGGTCAAAAATCTGCATAATTATTTGGCAAAATGTTGACAGCTGCAGGTGATGTAGTCCCTCTCCCTCTCTCCCTCTCTCTCTCAGTCCCTCTCTCGCTGTCTGTGTGTCAACCAGTGTGACCAAAGCTGATCGCTGTTCTAGAGCCCGGCACTCGATTTGCACATTCGTCACAGGCTTTGGGCACAGCTGAGAATCGCGCAGCGAGCGAGTTCATTAATTGGCATGCATTTTGGGCATTTGCCACAAAATGTGGCACAACTTCATCATCGGGAGCCGCAAGCAGAGCCGCAGTCACAGCTAAACAAAAGGCGACATTAATGCTGCGCCGGCAGCCGAGACCGCCCGAAGGGGCGTGACGAAATTCGTGACAACAGCAACAACAATGCGAATGACTTTATTACCAAGTGACACTCGTGGCTGATGCCTACCTCCCCTCCCCTCCCCTCACACCTCCCCTCACCCCACTCACCGCACACACCCCTCGATGATATTGTATACAAATACTCGCCCGGAGAGTACTCGTTCCCTGGGGACTTGCCCGGGCCTGCCAGCTGTCCCTCCGGCACCTCGCTGTCACCTCTATCTGTCCCTCTGTCTGTTGGGACAATAAACACTTCAGCTATTTATGAGGTTTTAATGAACACTCTGCGGCCATCTTGTGCTGACTAATGAAAAGGATACCGATACATGCATTTGGCTTATGAATTTGCAGAAATTTTTAGAGGCGTGTCAAATCGGAACGAGTCGAGTCGGGGCGAGTCGGGGCTAGGCTAGGGGCGCGCGCGCTAATTATGATTGACAGGGCGTGTCGCGTCTATTGAGGCGCCCAATTAAGTCGCATTTTGTAATTGATTTCGAATATACATATCTACATATCTACATATCTAAACATACGGCTGAAGGGCGCGTTGCTATGCGGCAACTTTCCTAAATTGAACCAAAGGCAACAACAACAACAACATGAAGAAGAACAACATTTAAGTCAAGTGCAGGCATTAATCAAGCCACAGACGGCCATCTTGAAACGAAAGGAAACCAACGGCAAATGCCAAGCAACGGCATTGAAAGATAACAACCAGGCGCAACAAAAGCAGAAATCGGCGCAACTTTTATACCCTTTTAGCCTAGCCAGGATATACCATTAAATGTGAGAAAATATACATTATTAATACGTTATTTTCATTTACAATATATTTATGCAAATTTGAAGAGCGTATCGCATGCAATAATTTACTATTTTGAGATCAAAGGGAACTTATTTTCAAGAAAGGGATAGATATCATTCAGGCTCGTGTAAATACACTCTGAGAAAATAAATAGTTTTTAGTATATTCTCTCAACCTATTCGAACTTATCTTGACTTGAAATCCAAACAGATGTTCATTAACAAAGTATTCGAAAAAAGGACTTAAATACCATAAAGATCTCTTGATATATGTTGTATATACACTCAGAGAAAAAAAAATGAAATAAATTCTGCTATGATTGAGTCATATTTTGTAAGGTTTCGTTCAAAGTTAAAAGTACTTGAATTAAGTTGCAAACAACTTGATATTAAAAAGTAAAAAATCAGAAAAAAATATTTAATAAAAATACAGATCAACATACGTTCATCAATAGTTCTTCTTATATTTAATATGTACACTCAGAGAAAAACAATGAAGTATATTAACTGGGATGCATTTCGCACCGTTTTGTTGTTAAAATTTAAGTTTGTATATATTTTGTTCTTCGAAAATCTTATAAAAGGTTTGAACCAACCTAATCTTAAAAAATAAATATAATAATAATTTTAAATAATCTTGGATTAAGAATAAGTTTTGCAAGAGCTTTTTAAGTATGTTGTATGTACACTCAAAGAAAAACAATGAAGTAAACTCTTCCATGTCTGGTAGACTGTTCACACTATTATCTTATTCAAATTTTGCAATTCATTCTGTTCTTAAGAATACTGATTGAATTGTGGTGATCAATAGTTACATAAATTAGCAAAAACAACTTAAATTAAAGACTTTTTACAAGAATTTTCTCACTCAAAATAAATTTTAAACGTTGTCAGTAGAAATAACTTGATTTTTCCGATGACTTCGATTTTTCTCGAAGTGCACTCGTTCTGCTTGGAAATCTGGAATATGCCAAATGATTATTTCCCAAAGTGTCGCATTTTTTATGATTTAGCCAAGTGATGTTAACTTGAGAAGGGCACAAAATGTATTATCGATTCCGGTTCAACAGTTGCATCATTTCACTTAGCTAAGTCCACGAGTGGGAGTGGTAGGGTGCAAGGGATAGGGGGGAGAGGGGCGCATTGCAGTTAAATAGACATTTGCATGCAAAAGATATGTCGGAAAAAACCGGGACAAACAACGAAGCAAAAATTGAATAAAACACAAACACACACACACATGAACAGGCACACACAAACACACACACACAAGCACACACATGACGTATATGTAACAGTGCAAAAGCTGAGCAAAAGACAAATGTGATTTACTGCAATCAATTTAAATGCAATGCAACAAGGGCCAGGAGTGGTGACTGGGCCAAGGGAGAGAGGCAGCGAGTGAGGCAATGACAAAGGCAGAAGAAGAGCAGCAGCGGCAGCGGCAGCGAATTCAAGACAAACGAATGTGTGCCAAAGCAAAATATACGAATGCACACACACATATCTATGTACATACACACATGCATATACATATATTTTTACTTTGCCATAAGAATGAGAATGGGGCTATGACAACGACAACGACAGCGACTGCGACAGCGACGTCGACGTCGACGGCGACACCTTCCACAAAGCTGATTTTAAAGACTTTTGCGCAAATTGCCGCAGTCAGCGAATACATCAGCGGCGAAAATAGGCGCTCACAAAGGCGAAAAGGCAAGAAAAACAAAACGGTACAAGCAGCAGAGGCTGAAACTAGACATCATTATTGATGACAATTGAGTGCGCCAGCGAGCAGCAGCTGGACAGGAGTTAACGAAAAAGGAGAAGAGGAGCGCTCTGTGCGTGTGCGTGTGCGAAGAGCGGAAGAGTAGAGAGTGGAGAGCGAGTAAAGAGGACAGAAACTGCAGCAGCAGCAATTACGATAATTAACACAGTCAGCCGCGCGGAAAGGCAGCCTCACACCAAAACACAGTGGAATGAGCAAACGAGAGAGAGAGAGAGAGAGAGCGAGAGAGTGATTGAACGAGGAGTGTCGGGGCGTAAAGGGTGAGTGTGTGAGCGAGCGAGAGCTTCGAACGAGCGCATGTCAAATTGTTCAAATTGATGACGTTCGCACGTTGACAGCCCCGTTGAACTGATGCGAGAGTGTGTGTGTGTGTGTGTGAGAGAGTGAGAGTGAGCGCATGCCGAACGCTGATTGGCCAGCTCAAAGCACGCCTCTGTTTGGCTTCGATTCCAATTAGAAGCCGAACTGCGCAGCTGCAGCTGTGACGTCATCGAGCGCACAGGCAACAAACTCGTTTGGCTTTCGGTCGCTCCAAACTGGTTGGGGGCAGGCAGCGCCAACGAACGAGAGCGAGAGCGAGCGAGCGAGCGAGCGAGGTAGAGGGAGAGAGCGCACTCAGCCCAAAACCATTTTCATCGAGACGAGAGCCGAGTCGCAGCGGCAGCCGCTCGCGTTGCTGTGTTGAATGTGGAACGTTGCACGTTCGCAGTCGCTGTCGCTGTTGTTGCCGTTGTGCGCGTATTTGCCGACGCGTTTTCGAAAATTTCCAAATGTGTAAAATGTGCGTCTCATGTGCTAATTAATGAACTAAACGGGAAATTGAACCTTTGAACTTGATTAGAATTAGAGCTAATTGAAATGCCGCAACGAACGCCGAGTCCCGTGGCCCTGAGTGCCGCACGCAGCTGCAGCAGTCCGGCCGTATCCGAGATCTCCGTGGGCTCGCCCAGTCCGCCGCCGCCGCCGCTCAACATGAAACGCCTGCGAATGCTGCGCAGTCCGGCGACCATCCGCAAGTGCAGCCAGCCGGGCGCCGGCGAGCGCATCAAAAGCTTCTCCATAGCCGATATACTGGGCCGGGCGGAGGTGGAGGAGGAGGAGCGCCCAGCACCGCCCATAGAGCGCCTGCAGGCGCCACAGCCGTTGTTGGCCACGGCGTCGCCTGCCATGCTGCATCCCGGACTGCATCCGTTTCTGCCACCGGCGCTGCTGCACAGCTATGAGCAGCGTCTGGCGTGGGACTATCAGCGCCAGCTGCAGGAGCACTTCCAGGCGCAGCTGCTGCGCCAAATGAGCATGGATCCCGCCAGAATACCCATACCCTCCGAGGATGGCAGCTCCGAGGAGCGTTCACAGCGCTCCAGCAGCAGCAACGGCAGCACCGACTGCTGCACGCCCCACCAGGGCCAGCCCAAGCTAACAGGCCGAGGGCCAGAGGAGAAATCAAAGCAAATAAATGGCCATGAGCCCGGCCAGAAGCCAGCAGCGGGCGCCGATACGCCGCTCGATGCGCTCTTTCAGCTATCGACCAAAAACTTTGACGAGGAGCAGGGTAAGTGTTGCCCCCCAACTTGGGTTGCAAGTGTTGCAACCGCAACCGCAAGTAAATTACATTTTAATATAAACTGATTTGCTATTGGAGCAGCTCGGCAGCTCGGCAGCTCATCAGCCATTAGCTCGGCTCTCGACTTGATCAATTGCTATACCCTGTACTAATGGAAATGTGTGAATGGGGTATACGGGTTTTGTGTGTATGTATGTGACGGGTAGAAGAAGGCAACTCTCATCTTATATCCCCTTTTATATCCCATCTTATATCCCATATCTCCCATAAAGTATACAAGTTCTTGCTCAGGAGGATGGCTAAGTAGATCCATCTGTGTAAACTTTTTAATCCCGGAAACTACAAAAGCTTGAGGCTTAAAATTGGAATAATATATTCTCCTATAAGCGACTAAGTTTGACCCATTTTTAACATATCGATAAATATCGATTTCGAGCCATGTTTCTTTTATGCAAAACTCGAGTATTATATCAATAATTTATGAAGCAAATGGAATGATATAATGTCCATTTATATATAGAAAGAAGCTGGAATGATTGACATATGTTTGATGCTTGATTATATTCAGCATAAAGCGGAAAAACATCGATAAATCGACTATCGATAAATATCGATTTCGAGACATGGTTTCTTTATGCAAAACTCGGGTAGTATAATAACATTGTATGAAGCAAATGGAATGATATAACGTCTATTTATCTGCTTGTTGCTTGATTAGATTCTTCTTAAAGCGTAAATAAATCGATTATCGATAAATATCGATTTCGCGACCTGGCTCTTTCATACAAAACTCGAGTACTACAATAATATTTGATGCAAATGTCTACTTTTATATAGAAAAAAACTGGAATGTTTTTAAAGACAGCTTGTCGTTTGGGTTCAGGGCATCTGCTAGTCGTGCACTCCCTAGACTGGAGCACTCTTACTTGCTGCTTGATGAGATTCTGCTTAAAGCGTAAAAACAGTAGTTGGGGTCAGGCCAGTCCGAGGTGGCTAAATCAATTTTAGCCATTACCCGACACGGTTTCAGTGTTTCAGTTTTCAGTGTTTCAGTGTTTCCACACACATTGAGATTGCCTCCAACTGATCTCTGATGGCATCGGCGCATGCGTATCGTTCGGCATAATTTGCTTAGCGGCGTTGATTTCTCGTTAAGACGGACAGACGGACGGACAGTCAGATTGATAGAGAGAGGGGGGGGGGGGGGGGGACTTGGCAATCCATCAGCTCGTCCGCTGACTCAATTGTGTTGCATAAAGAAGAAGAAGCAGAGAAAACGCGGCTACTGAAATTGAATTTACGCGCCGCACGTACAGCCACAATTTGTGGTGCATCCACAACTGATCAACTCTCGATCCGAACAGCTACTGGCATTGACTCTCGGCCGCAATATGATTGCGCTTACGACTCTGTTTATGATTGTGATTATGATTCTGATTATGTTGATGATTCTCCCTCTGATTAGTCCACTTTACTTTTTTTTTTCGCAAACTGATTTTCCCAGGGCAGCCCAGGCCATCCGGTTGGATGGCCAACAATCTTGGCTAATAGGAACATGATCAAAAGGCGCAGAGCAGCAGGCGCAGCTCGTGAGCATTGCCTACTTCCGTTCCAGCGCAGCGCAGTCGGGGCGGTAATTAGCAGGGTGTTCCTCCAGCTAAGTAACCCGCACAGCGACAAAACTGTACACAAATAATAATTACAAAAATGGGAGAAAATGTGGGGGAAAATTGTTGTAAAAATGGCTGAAAAGTTGTTGCGATTTCAGACAATGACAAAATTGTCGTTAGGGCTCGTCAATTATGAGCCCAAAATAATACTTAATAATTGCCGAGGCACGGGCTGCTTCTTGATTAAACGCCAAGACAATTGGCACAGACAGTTAAAGAGGGAGGGATTGAGGGGGAGAGGGGCTGCTCAGCGGATGCAGCCCTAATTACAATTTAATTACTGAAAAACTTTTCCCACTTGACAAAAGGCAGCCGCAATGGCAGCCAAAGATGCGGCCCAGCCAAGCGTGAGCCACAAAACGCACAAAACACAAATAAAACAGCAACAACAACAACTAAAACAACAACAACATTGACATTAACAACAACAAAGAAAAGATCTTGAGTTGACAGTTGATTTGACAGATAGCAGTGTAAACATTTTACAACATGCGGGTTGCCGCTCTTCTGTGGCGAGGCACTCGCAACAAATTAGTTCAACTAGACGTATACTTAATGCCCAGTCAAGAGGGTGCCAAAAAGCATATTAACTACATATATATATACATACTAGAGAAAATCAACCGGCGTTGCCCGGTTCAAAATGGTGCCAGCTTCAGGCACATACTACATGCTTTTATTGCATTAATTTATTTAAAAGAAAAAGGACAAAGAAGGCTATCTTCTTCTATCACGCCGAACACTTAATACCCTTGCAGACCGAAGCTTTTCATAATGTTCAAATTGCTTTGCTCGTATCAAAGAAGCACAGGAATAATAGTTAAGGTCGAGTATGCTTGGATATCTTAATACACAAAAAAGTTTTCCATGCAAGAACCTCAATTTCGACCGATCTTTCCCATGGCAGCTATATGATATAGTAGTGCGATGTAAATAAGATTTTGCATTAATGTAGGTAACATAGTAAAACTTATGAATGGCGAGTTTGGTCAAGATATCTTGAAAAACAAAAAAGTTTTCTATACAACAACTTAATTTACGACCGATCGTTCCTATGGCAGCTATATGATATAGTGGTCCCATCTAGCCGGCTCCGACATATTAGAGACTAGTTCGCATAGAAACCGACGGACGGACAGACGGACGAACGGACAGACAGTACACAAAATATATATGACAGCATTTTAATTGACAAAGCAACTACAACATAGGAAAAATTTAATGGAAATGTTCTCAATTTATTATTATTGCTTTTTGCTTTGCTGCCATATATTTGAACCGGCGACCTTTCCCTTGTTAGTCCGACACATGTTCATGACGTCACAGCGCAAACAGTTATTCGGCTGTGTGGTCGTTGATCTTTTTCCCCTAGTTGAAGCTCAAGTTTTCCAATTCCCCAAAAGGAAGCTTCAGTAAACATCACAAGTCAATCAGTCAATCAATCAATCTGGACAAACTCTTTAATGTGTATAGAGATATAAAATGCTCGACATACATTTGTAATTAGATGCAAACGTGTCGAGCTGCTGCTGCGTTTGCTAAGTGCCATGCAAACTGGATTTTAACCAACATCGTTTAGAATATCATTTTCCAGTCACGTCAGCAATTGGCAGGCCCAGCTAATATCCAACTAATACCCAACTATGCCGGCTATCTATAGTCTATGGTATTCCATATTGACAGTTGACTGAGGAAAATTGCCTTCGGCTTTTCTGTTTCACACGTAACCAATACAAAACGCAGACAGGGTCATACAAGCGACAGATATGTGTGTATACACTGCAAAAAAAAGCGAGGTGCCTATATAGAAGAATACCAAAACTAAAATGTAACTCAATGAGAATGTTATTGATAAAATAAATCTAATTTTTGGCCACAAATTTAAGTACAAGATTTAAAAGTTTTATTTTAATTATAAATAATAAAAAGTTAACCAAATTTTGTGCTGTGTCGGAAACAAACAACAGACTCAAACAACGTGACATTCAAAATGGCGTGCGCTGATTATCGAACGCCCCTCAAGTGCCACGCCCACGCTGATGTTATGCACACAGAACATGAAGCTATGTCCACACACGAGCATTAGCCCGATATATATCTGGCATATTAGTGGCAATTTGATTTATAATTCCGGTTGCATTATTTGCCCGCTGTTGAAGATCTGATAAAAACCATGTGGATTGTCTTTAATAATTATGGAAATTGTGTGTAGTTTGGATAAGCTAATAAGCAGTTAGCGAGACCCAATAAAAGATGGACGCGATTGATAAGATTGTTAAATATAACCAGGGCAAATATAATTAAAGAATGCCGCTGGTTCAATTTGAGGTTTGAACCAGCAATTTGCCTTTGAGTTCCAGGTTTGAAGTTGGTTCGATTCGCGGTTTGAACCAGCTATTTGCCTTAGAGTTCCAGCTGTGAAGCTGGTTCGATTCGTGGTTTGAACCAGCTCTTTGCCTTTAAGTTGAATTTGTAAAGTTGCTTCGATTCGTGCTTTGAACCAGCTCCTTTTCTTTATGTTCCATTTGTAAAGCTGGTTCGATTTGTGGTTTGAACTAGATCTTTTTCTGTAAGTTCCAATTATGAAGATGGTTCGATTCGAGGTTTGAACCAGCTCTTTTTCTTTATGTTCCATTTGTGTAGCTGGGTCGATTCCCGGCTTAAACCATCTCTTTGCCTTTGAGTTCCATTTGTGAAGCTGGTTCGATTTGTGGTTTGAACCAGCTCTTTTTCTTTAAGTTCCATCTATGAATTTTCTTCGATTCGTGGTTTGAGCCAGCTCTTTTTCTTTAAGTTCCGTTTATGAAACTGCTTCGAATCGTGCTTTGAACCAGCTCTTTGTCTATAAGTTCCACCTATAGAGCTAGTTTACATCGCTTTACTTTTGGTTCACGGTTTGGTTCATATTAAAGAACGAATTGCAGTTCCGGATTCGAGTCGCTCCGATTAAGAACATAAACAACAACTATTTCCTAAAATAATTGATTGACTCTTCGATCGAGAACACTTTGGGATAATTATAAACAAATCAGCAAAAAACACTTGAGAGAATTGTCGTAAACGGCGCAACCTTCGATTACAAATGCAATTTCATTCAATTTAAATGTTTAGCGGGAAAAGGTGAGCACATCACGAGGCGTTTTAGCCCATTGAATAATCATAAAATTGGCTGGCAAAAATCAACAGCAATTTCCAAACATAAATCAAATCAAACAAAAAGAAAAATCCAATAAACAGATGAAAACACAACAAAAAAAAACAAAACAATTCATTTCGAATGATTAATAGCAGCGCAACGTTTCAACAAAAATTTGTTAATGACATTAAAAAACGGCTAAAAACACAATAACAACAAAAAGCAGCAACAAAAAGCTACCATAAAAATTACAAAGCAAAAACCGCGAATCGCTTGCGATTGCCTCAATAAAATTAATAAGATGACTGCAGGCGCAAAAAAAAAAGCATTATTAATAAAAGAGAGAATGGTTAGCCTCGGCACGCCGAAGATTAAATACCCTAAGGACGAGCGAGGCAAGTTGTGAAGTGTGCTGACTTTAGGTTAGAAAAACAAAAGGTTTTCCATGCAAAAATTAATAATATATAGATAATATATAGATATACTAGTCAAACTCAAAGTCTGCGTTTGTTTGAAAAACATCAACAACAAATCGGCTGGTCGCCAGTTCAAATTCAGCAGCAATTTTCGATTTTATATCTGATTTTTATAGTTTTCGAATTGAATTGAATAATAAATTTATGTACTTACCTTCTTATATTTAATTGCCAACAGCTTTTCTTCTTGTCAAAAAATTAAAACATTTTTTTTTAATGGCTCACAGAAAAAAATTTGAAAAAAATGTTAAATTATGAATTAAAACACTTTTTCTTTCATACCTTTTCTTTCTTAGAAAAAAAATTTAACATTTGATCCCAAAATTAAACACAGAAAAAAAATGTGAAAAAAATATTAAATTATTTAAAAAAAATCACATTTTATGCCAAAAAAAAAAGGAACACATTAAAACACCAGAAAAAAATCACAGAAAAAAATTAGAAAAAAATATAAATTCACGCCTTGACTTCCTTTCTTCCTTTCTGCATTAACTGAAAAACACTGAAAGAATTAGAATAATTAATTACTTGAAGTTGAATATAAATATCTAAAGTCATATATAAAAATACAATATAACAGCGGGTATATCCCGGCCTTGCCCTTGGCTGAAACATTAAGTTCTTATGTAGAGGCTTAAAACTAAGTTTCATGCTAATCGGAAACCTCTTCTTCCACGTGCTGCACACCTCATGACAAAAGTGCAATACCCTCTAAAAGTGTATACAAATGAAAACACATTCTAACAGCGCGCGATGCGAGGCTTGGAAAAAAAAGGCTGCCTTGGGGCTTGGCTAGCAAACAAGTTGACAAGCTGGCGCTCGCATAAATTCGCTAATTAACGGTTGAGCCGCGCAAAAGTTGAAAACAAAAAGAAAAGTATATATAAATAAATATTTTATTAAGCAAAAATTGGCAACAGAAATATGAGTTTGCGTGTTGTGCGGCCATAAAGCATTTGCATTTCTAGCTGGCCATTAAAAATTCGCAAAATACCAACGCGAACTGCGTGGCAACAGATTTTTTTTCTTTCTTTCTTATAATTTTTTTCTTATCGTTTTTTTTTTTGCTTTCACTGCGCGCAACTCCCCCCGCCGCGGGGCTGCATGCGGCACACACACGTTTGGGTGGTCCGAACAGACCTTTGAGCAAATTGCAGCAGCAGCAGCAGCAGCGAGTGACTCGCCTGCTAAAAGGCCAACACACTCACACACACAGTCAGGCACACACACGCACACTCCGGGCCTTATAAAAGGTGTGCAAAAGCAACGCACTGAAGGTGTTACCTGCACGCTTTTGATGAGCACTAATTGAGCTCAAGTTGCATTTTTCTTGGCCGGCCCATTACCCCGCGCCACGTCAAGATCAAAGCCGGCAAGCCGGCCATATAAAAGAGTATAGAGACAAGCGAAAATCAGGCATCGACAGTTGCCCGCGAGAGAGAGAGAGAGAGCGAGAGAGAGAGAGGGAATCCTACTGCACACAATTTTGGTAATAACTTTATCATACGTACCATATGGGAGGCCCAGACCTTAGCCCAACTGTTGCCAAATACCAAAGAGGAAGCCAAAACAAATGACTCGCCGTAGCTCGAGTCCGTGTCCGTGTCCGTGTCCGAGTCGAAGTCGAAGTCGGCGTCCGATTCATTGCCAGACATATGGGCGGCCCTTGGCGAGTCAGGACCTTGTCAAAGTTCTTAAAAACGCATTCGCATTCGCGTTTATGCCAAACATTAATCAACAGCAGCAGCAGCAGCGGCAGCCGCAGTGGACTTGAGCTGTGAATTTTCGGCATGTGGTGTCGAACAGGAACATCAAAAGCCCGCGCCACGCACATAAAAAGCCATTTAAAAACGCATTTTCTGCAGTTGCCCCACCAAGTGACCCCGCGGGGCCCAATGGGGCCAATGCAATTGCAAACACGAGTGCGGCTTTTGCGCCCAAAGATTGATGCATTCAGAGACAGCCCAGCGGAAGGGACATGGCAGGGCTAGGCGCTGGAAAACGCACAGGAAAAACCCCGACTGACTGACTGACTGACTGCGTCGCTGGCTCGTTATCGCAGTGCATTGTGGGGGTATTATATGGGTCACTTGGCGCCTTAGCATAGGCAAAACCAGTTTAGCCGACTAGGTGTGGGCAATTAGCCCCAACCAAAGCAAAAGACGAGCTCCGAAACAGGTACTGTGGGATGCAGATACAATTGCAGCAAAAATCAAGATACAGATACAGATACAGATACAGATACAGATACAGATACAGATACAGATACAGATACAGATACAGATACAGATACAGATACAGATACAGATACGAGATACAGATACAGATACAGATACAGATACAGATACAGATACAGATACAGATACAGATACAGATACAGATACAGATACAGATACAGATACAGATACAGATACAGATACAGATACAGATACAGATACAGATACAGATACAGATACAGATACAGATACAGATACAGATACAGATACAGATACAGATACAGATACAGATACAGATACAGATACAGATACAGATACAGATACAGATACAGATACAGATACAGATACAGATACAATACAGATACAGATACAGATACAGATACAGATACAGATACAGATACAGATACAGATACAGATACAGATACAGATACAGATACAATACAGATACAGATACAGATAGATACAATACAGATACAATACAATACAGATACAATACAATAGATATACAGATACATAAATACAATACAGATACAATACAGATACAGATACAGATACAGATACAGAGATACAATAGATACAGATACAGATACAATACATATACAATACAGATACAATACAGATACAGATACAGATACAATACAGATACAGATACAATACAGATACAGATACAATACAGATACAGATAAATACAATACAGATACAATACAGATACAATACAGATACAGATACATAGATACATAGATACAATACAGATACAATACAATACAGATACAGATACAATACAGATACAGATAAATAATACAGATACAGATACAATAAGATACATAATACAGATACAGATACAATACAGATACAATACAATACAGATACAGATACAGATACAGATACAGATACATAGATACAGATACAGATACAGATAAATACAGATACAATACAGATACAGATACAGATACAGATACAGATACAGATACAGATACAGATACAGATACAATACAGATACAATACAATACAGATACAGATACAGATACAGATACAATACGATACAGATAGATACAATACAGATACAGATACAGATACAGATACAGATACAGATACAGATACAGATACAGATACAGATACAGATACGATACATACGATAAATACAGATACAGATACAGATACAGATACAGATACAGATACAGATACAGATACAATACAATAAATAGATACAATACAGATACAGATACAATACAATACAGATACAGATACAATACAATACAATACAATATACAATACAGATACAGATGCAATACAGATACAGATACAGATACAGATACAGATACAATAAATACAATACAGATACAATACAATACAATAAATACAGATACAATACAATACAGATACAATACAGATACAGATACAGATACAGATACAGATACAATACAGATACAGATACAGATACAGATACAGATACAGATACAGATACAGATACAGATACAGACAGATACAGATACAATACAGATACAGATACAGATACAGATACAGATACAGATACAGATACAGATACAGATACAGATACAGATACAGATACAGATACAATACAGATACAGATACAGATACAGATACAGATACAGATACAGATACAGATACAGATACAGATACAGATACAGATACAGATACAGATACAGATACAGATACAGATACAGATACAGATACAGATACAGATACAGATACAGATACAGATACAGATACAGATACAGATACAGATACAGATACAGATACAGATACAGATACAGATACAGATACAGATACAGATACAGATACAGATACAGATACAGATACAGATACAGATACAGATACAGATACAGATACAGATACAGATACAGATACAGATACAGATACAGATACAGATACAGATACAGATACAGATACAGATACAGATACAGATACAGATACAGATACAGATACAGATACAGATACAGATACAGATACAGATACAGATACAGATACAGATACAGATACAGATACAGATACAGATACAGATACAGATACAGATACAGATACAGATACAGATACAGATACAGATACAGATACAGATACAGATACAGATACAAATACAGATACAGATACAGATACAGATACAGATACAGATACAGATACAGATACAGATACAGATACAGATACAGATACAGATACAGATACAGATACAGCGAAAGATACAAATAGGGATAGATCGAGTCATCCGTTGATCAGGAGATCATATATCTATAAATATATACTTAAGAGATTTGGATTGGTATCTTTTTGCGTGGTTATAAAAATTGTGTTTGATAATCGTGCAAATGCAGTGCGACAAATCATATTTACATGGCTGGCTCGAGTCTGGCCCGGCAGCGTCTGCTCCGGAGTCTTTGATGATAAATGCCGAGCGGGCAGCATCAAATTAAAGCATTGGAATCATTAGCAGCGAGGCCGAACAAACGAGCGAGTGGGCAAGCCAGACGCAGGCGAGCGGATGGGAAAATTATTCACAGCTACGGCTGCGGCTCGGGCATTAAGGAGCTGCGGGCTGCGGGTTGCGGAGGCAGCGGGTTGCGGGTTCGACTGCTCCAAAAGGAAGTGGCTGGCAAAAGTGTCCCAGCCGGAGCTGAGGACAAGGTGTTTCTTGTGTTTTGGGCCCATTCGTTGCGCTGCCAGCAGGTGCTTCATTTGACGAACTCGCTTCATGTCGTCACTTCCACAGCTCCGATCTGTATCTGTATCTGTATCTGTAGCTGGTGCCACGAGTAGGGGATCGTTTGATGCAAGATGAATGCGCTTTGTAATGCAAAATTTACAGCTAAGCAGCGGCAATTAGTTCGGCTCGCCATGTGCTCCATTTAAATCGAAAATTTAAAAAACTGCCCTAACGAATTGTGTACATCAATAATGTGTCTGCTTATGGACTGAGCCATAAATTATATTGATCATATACTCAACTAAATTGATCGACCTGTCGAACCAACTTCTTGGGAACCTGATCTAAGTATTCGTCTATCTCTC